TTGGATTTTAATTAGTAATAAACGTCAGTTAACGTTGTCGGAAATCATCATTCAAACTGGGGAGGTAGGGTTATTCGAATCATTTCATTAATCTAATATGAAGTGTTTTTAATTTATACGTTTTCTAAGTTTGAATCAGGCTGCGATGGGTTGATTTATTTTTGTTAAAAATTTTTTTTCGTGTTATGGGCCCATCCTTACCATTTAATTTTCGGTATTTTCATTAATTCAAAATCTTTCTTTTTACGTACCCTAACGAAAGAAAGATGGCGCACATGATAGACATGTCGGACATTGAAAATGTGGTGGTCACTAATCGGGTTGGCAGGCAGACGCGAAAGGACACCGTGGCCGCAACGGCTGCTTCAGGTGCTGGTGGCCTGCAGCAGCAGCAACAACACGTGACTAAGCAACCGTTGCAGCAGAGAAATGCTCTGGCCAATCTAGTTAACCATGCCGCCAACACTAAATCTAGAGTTCAACCAAGCCGAGCCGCCAAGCAGCATACTAGATTACTACAGGTAGGGTGAAATATTTTTCTCAATTTTCGTTTATTTTTAACGTAGTATTTTTTTTTTCAAAGAAAAATAATATAAATAAATAATATATAAATAATAATTAATACCAAATCAAATGATATATATATCCATAGTTAAATTTTGAACCAACTTTAGAATACATCTAGAAGCAGTAATCAGGCAAGCGTGGGGCATGTACAACCATCCACCACCTCCTCCTTTGCCTCGATTGTTTCTGGCCGCAACAATGGCAGATTGAGTCTTACAACAGCAGCATCGACAAAATCGACGACAGCATCAACTCGCTCTACCTACAACAACACAATGGTCAACACCAGATCTCGGCAACAAGGACCAACAAAATCAACTTTTGTAATTTATGAGGACTCTCCTGAATCGATCAGAAAACCATCACAGGCTGCTGGGGATAGAGCCACTAAAGCCCTCAAGGCTCTGAACGACAATCACAACAACATCGGAAAAAATGCCACCAGGAACAACAACACTCGAAACAACCTCCTTCGTAACAACAACAGCAACGACAGCGGAGATGACATGGAGGTGTCATACGACAGGCCACCAGCCATTGCAGCTACAGCAACTTCTAATGCATTCATTGCAAACATGCACCGTCATCATCATCTTGTGGCTACTGCAGCGGCTTCCACTACTGCCTCTACTGCTATTAATAACAAGAAATTCAAAGCTTTTGGCGAAATAACCAACATAGTGCAACAACAAAGTAATAACGTTAGCAATAGTAACATCAACGTGGATTTGACTGCCGGTAATAGAGTAACTGCTGCCAACAGCAGAAGTTTTAAATCCAACAACAACGCCAGCAGTATTAGTAATAGTAGTAGTATTGGTAGGAGTCATTATGACATTTATGATGATGATGACGACGACGACGACAATGATATTCCTTCAACGTTTAATGGTGGGTGGGTTGGCTGCTTGATTGATTTGATTACCATTTTTGATTTGCTATTTTATCTCTCTCTCTCTCTCTCTCTCTCTCTCTCTCTCTCTCTCTCTCATTTCCTCTTTCTACCTGTCCATGTATGTGTGTGTGTGTGTGTCACTTGTTTGTTTCTTAATTGAATTTTTTATTGATAGCACAAAATGTTAATTGTTTGATCTGGTAAGTTGGTTGCTGCCCTAGTTAACCACAATAACATAATCTGAAAACCATAAAACAACACCAATCAATCAGATCTCGACATCTCCTTTGAAGGACGACGAATGAGTTCTACGACCATCTTCGAACATCATCAACAGCAGCAGCAGAAACAGCACATCCCTACAGAGGTGGCCGCCAGGCAGCATCGTCGATCCCTAATCAATCAACAAATTGCGTTGTTGGATGTCTATTCCTTGCCAGAATATAGAGATGATATTCTCACCTATGGTAAAGAGGCAGAGGTAAGATGTGGGACCATTGGTGAGAGGGAGTGAGATGTAGAGTCATTGGTGAGGGGGAGTTAGGGTAAGACATTAGTAAGAGGGAGTGAGACATGGAGTCATTGGTGAGGGGGCGTGAGATATTGATTTATTAGTGAGCCGAGAAAAGGGCGGTCTTATTAAAAGTGATTGACAGCTATTGTTAGAAACATGCAGGCATACATACATACACAACTGTAGCACATATTAGCATTAACACAGAGAGAGAGAGAGAGAGAGAGAGAGAGAGAGAGAGAACATCAGCAACATGCAAAAACAATTTTGCAATAAAAATCGACCTAATTTATGACTGCCCCGCTTAAATTACCTTGACCTATTTTACTAATTAACCAATGACTCTCCATATCAAATGACCTATACCTTCACCCATTTAACTAATCAACTCGAATGAACTTCACCTTGTGACCATCTCGTTCAGCAACGGTATATGGCAAAGGCCAATTACATGGAAAGGCAGTCGGACATCAATCACTCGATGAGGTCCATCTTAGTGGACTGGCTGGTCGAAGTTGCAGACGAGTACAAACTGAAGAGGGAGACCTTCTTTCTGGCCGTCAATTATATTGATAGGTTAAGGAATGATTGATTGGATGGGTTTGTTGGTGTGGTGGTAGCTTTGATTGGTTGGTTTGATTTGTTGATTGGCAGATCTGGTTGGTTGGTCTAATTGTTTGACTGACCGGTTGATCTGATTGATTGAATGAATGATTGATTTGTGTTCAGTGCTGTTGAAAAAATGTTTGTATGTTGTGTTATATCTTTGATAATGTTGTGATGATTTCATTCATAGTTAATTTTTTTTTAAATTCAATTTTCAGGTTCTTGTCGATGATGTCAGTTATAAGGTGTCGTCTGCAGTTGTTGGGGGCAGCGGCCATGTTTATTGCTGCGTTAGTTTAGCTTTTTTGTCTGTTCATTTGTTTGCTTGTTCGTTTGTTTGTTTGTTTGTTCGTTCGTTCGTTTGTCTTTGTATTCTTTTCATTCATTTCCGTGGCTGTCCATATATTCATTCAGTCATTGTCAGCCCACATTTAAACATCTGCCAGTCCATGCTTCTGTGAAATAATCCTCTCTCCCATCTAATCATCATTATAAACTCAAACTTCCATGTCGTTTTTTTCACAATATTAGAAACATTTAATTCAAATTTGATTTTCTGCACTTATACTCTCTTTCTCTCTCTCTCTCTCTTTCTATCCGTTTCTCTTGATTAAACGCTGCTTATACTCTCTCTTTTTCTCTTTCTCTATCTCTCTATCTACCTATCCACTACTTCACCTCCTCCACTCTCCCTTAACTCCAGCAAATACGAAGAGATCTATCCGCCCGATGTAGCCGAGTTTGTCTACATAACGGACGATACATACACCATGAAACAAGTCCTCCAGATGGAGCAGGCCATTCTCAAAACTCTCAACTTCTTGGTGGCAGCCCCCACGCCTAACTACTTCTGCTGCGACCTCCTCGACCGATTGGGCGCCTACAAGAAGGGGCCCAATGGCGTCTGTGACGATGGCGGGAGGTGGAATTCCCTGGCTATGGTTTGTGACAGACGTCATCTAGTTCTTTTTTATTTTTTTTTTTGGTACTTCAGTTTTGTTGTTTCATAGCACGCTGATAATGTAGTAGTAGTAGTAGTTGTACGTTAACCTAAATGAATACATTGAATAAGATGAAATATTCTCAAATGTTGTGATAGGTTGGTAATTAATTTAACACAGTACATGCTGGAGACGACCACAGTCTTCGGTGACTGTTTCCTGAAGTTCTCGCCGAGTATGATCTCAACGAGCTGTGTCGCACTTTCCCACTATCTCATCAACATGACTGGATGTGTAAGTTTGTGTGCGCGTGTGTGTGTGTTTCTCTCTCTCTCTCTCTTTATCTGCTTCTCTTTAGTTGTGTGCAAGTTTTTTCTCTAAGTGATGTGTATAAGTATGTTGTCTGTCTGTCTATTTCATTCTAGAGGAATTGTTTCCACACAAAGGTGTGTGTGTGTTTGTGCTGTGAGTAAGTTGTTTTTTGTTTCTGGGAGGTTTTATAATTTGAAATAATTCATCCAATGGTGAATTAAAATTACCTCCCCGCTCGCCAGATGTCAGAGCTATCTAGGATAACAAGCTACACGGTGTTCAGTCTGTCCGAATGCCTAAACTCCATCTTCACCACCCTCCACAACAGTCCCAATGTCCCACAGCAGGCCCTCAGGGTTAAATATAATTCTGAAAAGTTAGTGCTTGGTTTTGTCTGTCTGTGTCTTTGTTTGTTTGTCTGTCTGATTGTTTGCTTGTTTGTTTGTTTTCCTATTTGTTTATCCGTCCCGTCTGATTATTATTTGTTTGTCTCTAATTGTCTGTTTTGTATGTCTGTCTTGTCCTGTCTGTCTTTACTTGTCTGTCTGTACTAATTATAACATTTAACATCAGAATAATATTATTTGAAATTATTTAAGAGTAACATTAAATCAAACCTCTCAGATACCATTTTGTAGCAAGCTTGGAACTCCCAGAAACTTTACCACTTGACCTCTTATAGGATTGAGTGAACGAATGGATGAATGAATGAAAGAATGAATGAATAGAACGAAACTAACAAAAAGACTTGAATGTAAAAATATATGAATGATATGATGAATTTCGACGTCTTCAACGTTGAATATGGTTTATTATCGTTACATGTAATATTTTATTTAGCATGCAATTTTTAATTATTTAAAAATTTTTTGCTAGCAATTAATATGCTATTGGTTGATTGATTAGTTGATTGATTGACTGATTGATTGACTGATTGATTGATTGATTGATTGATTGATAAGTTATTTAACCATTGTAATAAATAAATTAATTAATTAATTAATTAATAACATTACATTTACAAATCCTTCTCTATCTGTCTATTTTTAGTTTACCGTCATCAGGGTCAGTCACCTCATTGCATTAATGTAACTTTTGGGGCTAAAGATTGCAAATAAATTATGTAATTAATTATGTAATTAGCTAGTGTCTTCTTGTGTTATCGTTAATTTAGTTGGCTGATAGTGTTGATGTAATATGTTAATGGATTGTGGAGTTCTATTGATCTCTTGGACCATAGAATTGCACATGTCAGTGTGATGATGTGTGCTTAGGTGGTGACATTAATGCAGTTTACAATGTTAATGTCATTTGGTACGTTAGCTAGTGCGTGGTTTTGATGTAATTTATTTGCAAGGGTTGTATTTAGGATAAGTTATAATGTAATGAATATCTTATAATCTGATAGGATTTCATGTTTTATGATTGGCTGGTAGATTGAGTGACTGACTGACTGATTGATTGATTGATTACGGATTAATAGATAGATACTTTAATTGTCTGGTTGAAACAGTTTCGAAAAATTTATTCCTCACTTAAAAATTCTACCAATAAACCGTTTTCTAAATGGAATCTGGTCAGATTTAATTAGCTCCTCAACGCTTTTATTGTTATCACATTTTTTGGTAGGTTTGTTATTATTTCTTATTATTATTATTATTATTGCCTCCTAAAAAAAAACCTCCTATTGTCTAGGTAGTTTTCTATATATACATATTCGTGTTTGTATGTATTGTATATGTATCTTCACGTACATACAATACAGATTACATGCAAATACACGAATATATATTATGTATATATATATATATATGTGTGTGTGTGTGTATGTAATGCTATAAGGACGATGTTTTATTGATTTTATTATTATTTAGTTTATAGACGGCCAGATTTAACCACCGCGAGAACAGTTTCATATTGTAGATTCTTACCAGATATAACTTGACAATAATTATTATTAATTATTTTTATTTATTATTATTTTTTCATGGTGCTTACTCTCCCTCATAGCTTTTTATTGACAGACAGTTCTCTTGTTATGATATAATTTGTCTCAGGATTGTTTCTATGTGTTTTTTGTCAGTATTGATTGTGTGTATGTGTGTGTAAAAATTCTTCTTAGGAAATTACATGTAAATTGTTACTGTGCTGTTCTTTTTTACTGTCGATCATTCATTTGTTTATTTATGTATTTTTCTGATTCACTCAATCATTCTTGCAATTCATTCATTGATCTATTTCAATCAATCAGTCGTTCATTTTATTTTTATATATACGTTCGTTCTTTTATTTTTATTCCTTTTTTGTCATTCATTCATTCATCTATAGCTATGGCATGCATTTTATAATATGAAATTTATATATATATACTTTAAAATAGTGTATATATAATGTATTTACAATTTAGCATTTTATATATGTATCTAATGGTTTTTGATTGATTGGTTGAATGGTTAATCTGTTGGTTGGTTGGTTGGTTTGGTTAGTTGATTGAAGAATTCATTCGTTGAATATAGCATACTTGCCTACTTAGTAGTAATAGTTTTCATAAATAATAAATTTTTGATTTTATTTTTTCTAGTGTGTGTGTGTGTGTGTGTGTGTGTGTGTTAGAATAATTATCGTTATACTGGAATAGTAAACTACATTTATAATTGATAATTGTAAGAATGCTGATCGTAGGATAGGATTTGCTCCAACATTTTTTATTCATTCGTTAATAAAGCAAATAAATGAAAAAAATATGACATATAGATGATGATAATAAAGTAATATTATTAATGATAATTAATTATAGCCAGAATTTTTAAAGGGGATTTTATTTCTTTGTTACTCTTAGCGTACGCTCTTACAAAAAATGTCTATCAGAATAAAATGATGAGATTGAATATTTGTAGTGGAGTACAATGTACGGTGGTTTTTTTTGTGTTGTGTGTGTGTGTGTGAGGAAGAATTGGTTGGGTAGTTGGTAGAATAGTTGACTGATTGATTGATTGGAAAAAAGATAAACTAGCATCACTAAGCTGCTAACAGATGTCGTTGAATCATATGAAAGAAATTCAAGAAATTTTTGTAGATATGTAATCAATACTTATAACTTATGTCATGATGACAACAGTTAATATTTTGTGATAGCAACAGGATGTGGCTGCAAAATGTTGATGGATGTCACGGTGGGACTCGACATCTGGAGTCAGCTAATGTAGGCTTACGTAAAGTTGGAATGACGTTACAAAAAAAATTCACATTGAAATTAATGATTTTTTTTATTTTCTCCAGTTATGTGCGTGCGTATTGCAGTTACGAAATTATATAATTACAATATTTTTAATTAGAGTAATGTTTTTCCAAGGCCAATCCTAACTAAACATGTTTAAGCTTTCATTTTTACTCGTTACCAATGTTGATACATTAACTAAAGAAACCAATTGTTCTATTTAAAACTAATAGTTATTATTATTGGTGGTAGAAGTTGTGGTTGTAGCAGCAGTAGTAATAATAGAAGTAAATGGTTTTTTGGTTTAATTTAATGATGATTTGGCTATTTAGGATTAATGGTTAACTGTTTTTAAGTTAATATAGTTAAGTTTAATTTTAAAATACGTTACATTGGTTAGTAAATAAATCTAAAATAATTTATTTTTAAATTTACGAAACTGAAAAAGCAAAATGTCCGGATTTCGAAAGCATAAAACATCGAGACGAGGAATAGAAGATGACGGAAAAGAATATGTTCCGCTCATGCCTATCGCTTCTACAGCTGCTGCTACTACCGCTACTACTACTACTCTTACTTCTACTACCGTCAGTGCAGTTGTTGCAGCTGCAACTACGTCCACTACTACTTTTTCAAATCCTACGTTTACTGATACTGCTGCATCTTCTACCTCCACTGATAACGACGAAGATGACGACTACGATGAAAAGTATCTTGAAAATGATGCCGATGATGAAGAAGATGAAGATGATGATGCTGGTAGGAAGAATCGTAATGATGACGACGAATACGATGATGAAAACGATAGTGGCGATGACGACCCAAAAATTAAGTATAGAAGAAAAAAGGATGGATCTTTAATTGGTGAAACTTCGTTTATTAAATCGCCTAGAGCGGTGACAGAGGCTGCAGAAACGCTTCCGACGCCATGTAAATCAACTACGATAACACATTATTTAAAATTTAGTAGGAGACTGAATGCTGAAACGCTATCCACAAATGTACCTGGTACAATCACATCCAATGTCATTAATTTAACGGAAACAACATCAGTCACTGTAGCTTCAACTACTTTAGCTACAGCTGCATTAGCTACAGCTACATTAGCTACAACTACATTAGCTACAACTACATTAGCTACAACTAAATTAGCTACAACTACATTAGCTACAACTAAATTAGCTACAACTACATTAGCTACAACTACATTATCTACAACTGCATTAGCTACAACTACATTAGCTACAACTACATTGGCTACAACTGCAGCCCCAACTGCTGCTAAATCCATTTCTACCTCATCAGCTGCTAATCTGTCGGTGTCAAACTTATCAAGCACAATAAAATCTACTGTGAATATATTTTCCACAACCGCGACACCAACCGGAGCTCCATTAACTACAATTTCATCAACCACAACCGCATCAGCTTCAACTTCTACAACGACTACACTGACATCTCCATTAGGCCAATCATCTACATCCACATCAGCCGCAGTTGCGACGACATCATCAACTACAACAACCGCCACAACAACATCAGCTGCATTAGCCGCAATCAGGTCAGCTACAGAAACGTCACAGATAGGAGATTTAACAGCTTTAAGAGTGCCACGCAGAAAAAGAAAACCCTATAAACAACATGCACCGATATTTATAACAACAACACCAATCATAACACCAAGAGCACGTGACGCCACAAAAACAACCTCAACAACTACATCGTCAACTGCTGAACTAGAACCGACAGCAGAATCGCCGCCGCCATTGAGTCCACCACCATTACCACCGCGACTATCAGATTTTTTCAGGCCACCAACGCCAACAACGCCACCACAACTACCACCACCACGCGGGTCATTATTATCATCAAAAACGACGAGAAGAACTCAACCTAACCCGGGCGATTTCACGATAATAACCGTCCTTGATGATCCAACCGTGGGACCGCCACACCACAGCCGACTACAACAGCCAACCAAACCGCAGCCACAACCGCAGCCACAACAGCAACAAATCCAGCCACTCCAACCACAAGAATCATCTGAAACATCTTCGTTATGTCCACACAACTTCAGCAACCCAAGAAGAAACGTCGCCATCCACAGGTTAGAGGATCGCGAAAGATCCATCTACGATACGGATCTCGATTTAAGCAGCATGCATACAGACGATCTCGTCCTCACGAGGGAACAACACGAACGTATGATGAGGCACTTTGCTAGAAAAGAGGTTGCACATTACTGCAGGATGTGTTGCCTCTTCTTCTTGATCATTGTCCTTCTCGCAATTATGGCCTTACTCATCCACAAGATGTACCTTATGCTTGAACCGGTATTCAGAGCCGATGGCCTCATGAGGAAGATTAGGTTTTTTTTTATGGGGTCTGAATTGTGGGAAGATAAGAAGAGGTAGTGAGAGAGAGAGAGAAAAAAAAAGGAGTTTGAAAAAGAGATTGAAAAAGTGAAAGACGAAAAGAGAGAGAAGAGAGAGAGAGAGAGTAATCTTTACCAAAACGATGCATTTTTAAATAGTGCAGTGGTGAATAAAACCGTTCTAAATTTTAGCTGTCGAATGAGATGTGAAATAAAATTGTGTTTGTGTGTGTGAACGTATTTATGATTTGTGTATGTGTGTGTGTGTGAAGTGTGTGTGGAGTGTGTGAACTGTGAACTTTTACGTGCAACTTATTGACACATATTAAACTCTTTTAATTATTTGCGACTTTTAAACCCCTTTTAAATTATTCTCAGGTGTACATGTATGCGTGTGAGTGTGTGCATGTGTGTGTACGTATTTGTATTTGTGTGTTTGTGTGTGAGTTTATGTATTTGTGAGTGTGTGCTTATATGTTTTTGACACCGAAAATGACGTTTTTATTGAGTTATTTATTCTTTAGGAAAGTGGTTATTTTAAAATAATTATTTAATCAGTTTAATTTAATTTAATTTTTTAAAATTACAAATTATTTTTGATGGGGTTTTTTGAGGTTTGTTTAAAAATGAAAATGCTACTACGTCTTATAACTTACAGTATAGAAAAATTTGTTCAAGTTGCGTATATATTATATTTATTATATTTATTCATAATATTATTTAATTATAAATTATTACTATGAATTATTATTTAATTATTAATCATTATTTAATAATTAATTGCATCACAATAAATTAAATCAAATTTCAAAAAACATTGCGTTGTTTAGATGCTCTTTTAATTTTTAAAATTGATAAAGATTTTTTTCCTTCAAACGATCATCAGACGTATATCTAGAAATAATTTCACTACTAATTATACTAATTACAACAATAACATTACATTACATCATATCACATTACATTGCGTTTCATTACATTACGCCACATTACATTGCGCTAATGGGATTGGATGGAAACTTTGGCAAAACCGTTAAATTTAAATTTTAAATGTCATTGTAATAACTAAAAAATGCGGCTCAAATCAGTGCAACCAAAAATTGTAGACCCCACACTTTTGTTTAATCCGTGTAGTAGTAGCAGTAGTAGCAGTAGCAGCAGTAGTAGGAACACCTATATAGAAATTTCATTACTTTAATCAAAAGCTGTATTTGAACAAGATTACTTAATGTATTGTGAAAGATAAGGCTATGATAACGGTCAATGGCAAGAATACATACATACAAACACGCATAAACACACACACACATACATTGATACACGCATACACACATACATACTCACACACACACACACATACTCACACACACACACACATACTCACACACACATACGAACATACACAGTGTGTTAAAGCTGAACAATGAAATCATAACTAACTGACTGACTGACTGACTGGCTTAGCCACAGCAGTGATGGTTTATGATAATAGTAATAATAATAATAACAATAATAACAATAATAATGAGAAGAGTAAAAAGAATAAAAATAATAAATTGAAAAGTAAAATTTGACCGCTTTTTCAAATTTGAAAAAAGAAAGAATAAAAAGACAGCTGTGACAATAAATCATCATTTTGTTGTTGTTGTTGATGTTGTTTGCTGATGGTGTTGTTGTTGTTTTTGTTGATGTTGTTGTTGATGGTGGTGTTAATTATTTTCAATTATTATTCCTATCATTAAATTAATTATTAATATAAATGAAATCAACAAACACGCATACAGTATAGATTCAATCTATCTAGAACGATGTGTGTATGTGTGTGTGTAAGTGTGTGTGTGTATATATGTTGTGTGTGTGTATGTGTGTTTGTATGTGTATGTATGTGTGTGCGTATGAAGAAAAAAGCAAACAACAAAGGAAGCTTTCGGGTCATATTCATTGCTTTAACATGCCAAAGACTTTTGTTTGCCTTCTTTTGTTCGGCTCCTGTTACGCATAAATTATGTTTGAATAATTATTTATATTATGTTATGTTTTTTATGTGTGTGTGTGTCAGTGTTTGCGCGCGCGTGTCTGTGTCAGTTTGCGTGCGTATGTGTGTTTTTGTGCGTGTGTTGCTCTCATAAGCCTCATTATGGAAAGATTAAAACGGCGATAATGATAATAATAATAAATAATAATAATAATTATTATTATTATTCAATGCCACTACTATAAATACTATTTATTATTATTATTAATTATTGCTACTGCTACCGTATTAACCACCACAGAGAGTCTGTCTACACTACATATGTAAAATGCCGTGTAACAACTCTAAAAAGCCGGTGTTTTTTCAAATTCAACTAAAAATCTTCCTCTCTATTTAAAACTTCCTTTCTTCTATCTTTCTTCCTCCTTTTTTCTTCTCACTATCTTTCTTTTTGTCTTTCTCTCCTTTTATCTCTCTCTTTCTCTCTGGTTCTTATAAAGTTATATATTGTAATTAAATTAAGTTTTATAATGTGTTGTGTGTATATAATTTCTCTCTCTCTCTCTCTCTCTCTCTCTCTCTCTCTCTCTCTCTCTCTATCTCATTATATAATTATATATACAATATATACATACATATACACATACATGTATATAGGTTATATTGATTTATGTGATTAGAAAGCCTCTATATAAAGCCTTTATATTTATATATTACAACATGTACAATTGCACATGTAGATATAAAGTTAGAATTAGACTTAATTGCTCTGTTTCATTATGGATTTTATTATTTTTGTGTTATTAATATAATATATTAATTATATATATATATAATTATTTTCATTTATTTATTTTTCATTTGTAGAACGCGTTTTTGTTGATAGCTGATAACACTAAAATTGTTAACCGATAATTTTATTATTTTGGAATAATTTTCGTGCTACTGTCCGAAGAAATTAAAAGGTAAGGTAATGTTTGTGAAAATTTCTGCGTCTGTCAGATCCTGATTTTAAAGAATAATAATAATAATAAAATCAGGAGACAAAGGTGCATCCACTTTAATTTTGAAAATTTTATTTTACCAATGGGGGTGGTTT